TACACTTACAATTACTCTCAACAAAGAACTTAAAATTCAAAAAACTCAGAATAATATTTTTCTATTGAATTCAATGCTACAAAAATTTTTATATAACCAATTTATTTCAAAACTTCTTGTCAATCTATGCATATACTTATTAAAAACTACAATAAAACAAATACAACAAATTACAAACAGAATAACTTAGTTCCTTCAACAATAAATCTCTTAATGGCATATTTTACAAAACAATATTAACTAGTCCTTAACTTTACAATACATATCATATGAAGAAAAACCTTTAGCATTAACAACTGATCCAGCTTTGTTTATACTGAAAAACTTTAAAATCAAAGTATTATCAGAGAAACTGCCTACTCACCCCTTTTTCACTAGAGAAATGCTACTAAACATCCAAATTACCTTTGCCCAAGATGCTATAGTGCTTTTGAAGATATTATATACCTTCTAAATTGTCTTTAAAACTATTTGCACTTTTCAACTCTAATAAGGCATGCAGTATATCAAGCATCTAATAATCTAAAAATATCTAGTCATAATATAAATAGCTTTATATGAGCTTTTATTTCAAATCATATTAATAAGCAAATACCATTAGATATAATAACTAACAGCACTCTAGCACTCTTTAAAAACAATAAACACAAATTCAAATATGCTTCTCTTATTCATTACAACATTATCTATACAATATATAAAAAACTTTGGCTTCCATCCAGAGTAATACAACATGACTTCTTTATTCGACTTTATCACTATTACAAACTCCAGTATTAAACAAAACTAAACCAATTCTACTTTCTTTATTAAATAAAAAAATAGATCATTACATTATGCATAAACAATCTTCTCTTAGTCATCTTATCATAAACTAGAGGTCTACTGACTATTCTAGCAAAAAATAGGTTGAGAGAAAGTAGTTCTTACCTCCATCTCCTCTAGCTTAGTTTATTTAATATGTATTTTATATATGTAAATTAACTAATTAATAAAAGATATGGAGGATAAACCTCTCTTTAAAAAAAAAAAAATTACCTAGAATAAAAATTAGTTATAATCTTAAATATATATTAGCTTAATAAAATAAATAGTTAATTACAAGAAAAATGAAAATTTTATCATTATAATAAATTTAATAGTAATTTGTACATATAAAATACTATTTATTTTAGATAAATTGATAATTTTTTTTAATATTAAAATAAGTACTTGTAACTCAAGTTTTTATTGATAATATGTTTTAGTTTTATAAATTTTATTACAATAGTTACAAAGAGCAATCATAAGAAGAGTGTACAACTAGCCATTTATACAATTTTAGCTATTGTCTAATTTAAGTGGTTTGTCAAAGGTTCTATACTACTTGTCATATTTAGAACCTGCCTGTAAAATCTTTATTTAAATGTTTTAATTTTTGTATTTACTCATCTACCTATTTTACCAACTGTTTTAGTATTTACTAATACAAATATACTATAATTACTAGATTTTTAAAGCAGTTTATTTATATAAAAAATCTTTGATCTTATATTAAACTTATCAAAGCCTTCTGTTACCCAATTTCTAGCTAATTTAGTATTATTATAGTTAAAATCAACTCTTATAGTTAAGGTAACTCTTAAACTACTATACTTTTATAGAGTTATATAATTTTAGTATCTCTCTTTACAACCTTACTAGTATCTTATTAGTTTTGCATAATGTAAGTTTATATCTAGTTCAACTAATAGCCAAGTTAATAAACTCTTTTATCTAGAATTCTTGCCTATACAGGTTATTTATCTTTACTAAATTAAGTTTTTTATAAATAGTATTATTAAAGATTATATTATCTTTTTACTTGAAATTTCTAAACAGAGCTTTTTATTTTTATTTTATTTTATTTTTTTATTAAGGTGATCTCTTTGGTCTTTTGACTTTTATTAATCACTTATTAGTATTGTAGTTTAATAAACCACTACAGAAGAGAGTACAATTGGCTATATATATAACTTTTTTATATTACCTATTTAAGAAGTCTGCCCAAAGGTTTTTTACTAATTGCTATATCTAACACTCCTGCTTAGATGTTTTACTTTAAATCCTCTAAATCTGTAACTTGTGTTAACTTATTAGGTTATACCCAGATGCCTAGATTATCATCTTAACCTTAGAACTAATTTATCCTCAAGATAAACCTTCTAGAGCCTTCTGTATCTATTTTTACAACTGATCTAAGTATTGCTATGGCAGAACCAACACTTTTAGCCAGTGCTAACCATTAAACTGCTATGCTCTTGTAGAGTTTACTTAAACTCTAGCATCTACTTATAGCATAATCCTAATACTTTAGTATACCTCTGCCTTTTCTTTTGCCTTTTTATCAAACTTCTAATTCAGATAGACCATATAGAACTACAACCAGTTCATCAATATATCAGGTTAGCCTGATATCCTTTTTCTTTAGTTTATTTTAGCAGCCTGGTTAGTGGTACCTTTAAGTCTCCCAACTTAGAGGTTCTTGGCTATCTGGCACTACAATCAGATACTATAACCTTGGTATCTGTTTCCCTAGGCTAGCCTTTACAGTAGGACTGTTGAAGATTCAGCTACTTCTCTACTTAGGTCTTCCCAAATAGACTTCTTGTTATTTAATTTCAACAGATTTACATGACTACAAGGACTTATTTAGTATTTGCATCATCTAATTTGTCAGTTTGCATTTCTCTGTATAATGTCATACTTATACAAATGCCTCATAACCTGCCAGTCATGCTGGTGTAATCATCATTACAGGTGTTCTAATCTAATCATTAGTAACAGTTGCCATAATATGAATATTATATAAGTGATTATTCAAATTTTTACTGTTGATGAAATTTGAACATCCAACCTACCACTTGGAAGGTTGACAACCTGACCACTTTACTAGATTGCCACACCTCTAAACAAAGTTTTTTATAGAATATATATTTTTTAAATTTATTTATATAATATTACATACTCTTAAAGTTAGTTTTAGTATAATTAAAATTACAGTTTTATAATCTTAAATACTCCAATCAAGTTATCAGAATAGAACTATTTTTTAAATTTCTACTGCTAATAGGATTTGAATTTTGAACTTACTGCTTAGAGAATGACTATACTAAAATTAGTATTTTATAATAAATTAATATTTAAATATATTTGTTAATATAAACATTCAATAAATTTAAAAAATTACTATTAATATTATAAATTTGGTTTTTTTTTAATATTAAGATGACCTCTTTGGTTTTTTGACTTTTATTAATAACTTTTTTAATAATGTAATTTAGTAAACCACTATAGAAAAGTATACAATTGGCTATATATATAACTTTTTTATATTACTTATTTAAAGAGTTCACTTAAAGATTCTTTACTAATTGCTATATTTAACATTCCTGCTTAGATGTTCTATTTTAAACTCTTTAAACTTGCAATCTGTATTAATTTTACTAAATTATATCCAGATGCCCAGATTATTGTCTTAACTTTGGGATTATTTTATTCTTAAAATAAACCTTTTAGAGCCTTCTGTACTCATTTTTATAGCTGATCTAGTATTATTATAGCAGATCCAACACTTGCAGTTAGGGCTAACTATTAAATTACTGTGTTTTTGTAGAGTTCATACAGATCTTAGCATTTATTTTACAGCATATTCCTAGTATATTAGTATATTTATATCTTTTCATTAGATTTCTAATTCAGATAGTCTATATAAAACTACAATTAGTTTATTAGTATATTAGGTTGACTCAATATTCTTTTTTTTTGATTTGTTTTGACAGCCTAGTTGATAATATCTTTAAACCTTTTCTAATCTAAAAATTCTTGCTTGGTCAAATACTATGACTTAGTATCAGTTTTTAGTAATCTAGCCTTTGCAGTAGTGCTATTAAAGATCTAGCTATCTTTTTAGTTAGATCTTCTTAAATAAACTTCTTGGTACCTAATTTCAACAGATTTATATAATCATAGGAACTTATCTAGTGTTTGCATCACCTGATTGTTAGTTTGCATTTCTCTATATAATATTATATTTACATGAATGTCTCATGATCTGTCAGTTATGCTAATATAATCCAATTATTAGTAACAGTTGTCATAATACAATTATTATAATATAAATTATCTTTATACTAGGGGTTATTAATAACCCTCTATATAATATGCATATATAGTTATACAAAACTTATTGTATGTATATTATAACAATAGACAAAAATAGTAAAAGTAAGTTAGTTTTGACAGATGTAAGTAATTGGATTTAAAACAAACAAATAAATAGATACTTAATCACAACATAGTCAAACTTCTTTTACTTTAGTTGGGTAAAATCAACATTTAGCAAATAGAACAAATAATCAAGAAAAAGTAAGCATGTACTTTGATAAATACAGTATAAGCCTCTTTTATACTTTATCATATTTGTTAATATTAATTTTGATAAATATTTTTTACTGCTTATTACTTAACAGAGATTTTTAGAATTTATGTATAGTCTTTTTTGATTTTTTTACATACCTTCCTATAGTAAAATTCTTATTTCAATATTTGTTTTGAATTTTGTTTTGAAATTTACTTGTTACTAACTAAAATTCTTTAGGTTTATATGAGTTGAAAAAGTGAGCATATACTTTAGTAAATACAGAATAAGCCTTTTCACATTTCATCATATTTTTGAATATATTAACTTTGACAAATGTTTTTTTACTGCTTATTTCTGACTTATTATTCATTATATTTTTTTTTTTAGAATTTACATGTGTTTTTATTACTTTTTTATATACATAGCTTTCTTCAAAACTTATGATCTTTTATAGTAAAATTCTTATTTTAAATACTTTGCTTTGAATTTTACTATCCTTTACTAACTTATATTTTTTTAGGCTTACACATTTTTCACATAAAACTTATAATCTTTTATAGCAAAAATTTTGGTTCAGACATTTCACCTCAAGCTTTATACTAACAAAGTTTTTTTTTAAATGTTTGAAATCCAAATTCTTATAAAATTTCATGAGAATCATATAAATAACAGAATTTTGTATCATACTGAAGATGATATTAAATTCACTTTACCTTCTAATGAGTATGTTATTGATGCCTTGCCTGTTGTTGAATATGTTAATGAAGATAACATGTTTGAGAATAGTGAACATAAAAATGAGCCTGATACTTTCTCTGTAGTTGAAAATGCTAATGATAATATATTTAAAGGTAAAAATCCTAAAAGTGTGTCCAATATTCTAACTGTAATTAGAAATGTCAAAGACAACATATATAAAAGTGAAGATTTAGAAAATGAGCCTAAAGACAGTTCTCTAAAAGAAATATATACTAGGCAGACCTTTACTTCTTTTAAGATGCTTAAACAAAGTTTGAAATATTATTTTATCTGAATAGATTTTGAGACAAAGATAGTACAAATTGAAAAAAAATAATGTTTGTTTTAAAAAATATATAAATGTTAACACAGAGGTAAATATTTACCTAAAAAGAAGTTAGATCTTATAACAAATAAAAATCAGGAATTAGCATATATAGATTGTAGATTTGTGTTAAATGCTTCATACAAAAAACAATCAAATCTTGTGTTTGTTAACAAGTTCATTAAAAAACACAATCATGTGTTAAAAGACAGTAATTTACTTCAATTTTTACTATTATTACATAAAATACCTACACATATAAAGGAAGAAGTTAGATTTTATATTCAAGAATGCAATTTAGAAGTGACTATTTTAAAACAAATATTATGAAATAGGTTTTCTAACCAAGAAATTTATAATAGAGAATTTACAATATGATAAATAGGTTTAAGGCTAATAACTAAACTAAGAATGATGCTTTAACTTTATATGAATCTCTAGTAAGACTACAGCAAAAAAATTCAAATTGGTATTTTAAAGTTGATTTCAAAAGTATTGATAATAGACTTTCTAGACTATTTTGGATATTGCCTAATTAAAAAAGTTTGTGGATCAGATTCCATGATATTATTATTAATAACAATATGTGTAAAACAATTAAATATTTGATGTTTTTAAGTATATTTATTGTAATTAACTCAAATCAGCAAAGCTAAATTGTGACAATAGCTGTAGTTTGTAATGAGACAGTATCAACTTACAAGTAGATCTTAGAACAAACTAAGTTAGTAACTAGTAATCTTCAACCAATAACAATATTTACAGACACAAATCTGGCAATGCAAGTAGCTATATCTAATAGTTATCCTGAAACTATTGTTCAGTACTTTGCTTATATATCTTGTTCTTTATTTTAGTTATGTATTTGGCTTTATCAGTATTTTTAATATCTTGTTTTTTGTTTAGGCATTGCATATTTTATATTTGGCAAAATCTAGTTAAAAAGGTTAAAAAAAAGCTTTATGACAAGTAAGATGCATTCATTTCAGATTTTTATGCTCTTCGAAATTCATTAACAATATCTGATTTTGATTATTGCTAGATGAATCTAATAACAAAGTATCCAAAAATTCAAAAGTACTGTAACTGGGTATTATATTCTACAAAAGAATGCTGAATATATGCCTTTATAAAGCAGAATTTTTCAGCAAACACCTATTCAACACAACATGTTGAAAGCATAAATCATGTTATAAAATTAGAGACCAACTCTGAAAACTCTTTATGTTAGCTTCAAGCAGAAATTGAATTGTGACTCAAAGATGAAGCCAAATATGCAAGATTATAAGAGTTCCAAAATATGAATCCTACAACAGGCCTTCCTTACATTTTTAATATGATTTTTAAAGATATTAATGATATGTGCAAAAAGCATCTTACATCTTATTCATTAGCTTTGCAGTGAAGACATGCTAGAAAGTCTTTTGTATAGAGCTTTTTTATATGCTAATAAGCTTGACATAAACATGAATTAGAAAAGTTTTTGTTTTTTGTATATGTTTTATTTTATTTAGTTAAACTATAAGTAAAGATCATATTGTACATATTATTTAATTAAAAGTCAAATTGTCATAGTATAGAATTTATAGAAGATAATTATAAAGAACCACAGATTTTATTAAACATAGCTCTAGATGACTGTAATGAAATTGGTATGTATGAAACTTGGAAAGTTAAACATTTTTAAAGCACAACAAACTATTCACAATTTGTCTTATTACTTGAAGATAGTATATACTATTGTATATATTTATATTTAGTCTATGCTGAATTCATTTGCTGACATTTTTTTGCAGTTATAATTCATTCAAAAAAAGCAGTTTTTAATATGAAGCTAATTTCTTCTTGTTGTATTCTGAAGAAGGTCTTGCAATATTTGAAAAAATTTAAGGATCATCTATTTAGATAATACAAAATAAAGACGAACCACTTCCAACTAGTATATTTTAAGCATTAGAAAGAATTTGTGAACAAGAAACTAATATCAGAAATGCAATAGAATTAGATTCAAAAAAAGTTTCATATAGCCATAGTTTCAGATTTTGTAAAAAGGCTTTGGACATAGCAATCAAGAATGGTTCTAATAATGTTTTATAAGATATTTTATAATGATTTATTAATAAACATGTTTTAGCACAAAATAAAGATTTATCTGAGCAAAAATTGAATTAAGAAAACAATAGCTTTAATATTTCAAACTCATGCCAGCATAAAGATAAAGGTCATCCTGTGAATAAAAGATACTTATTAGTGATTGAAAATCATAATAGCAAGTATGTTAGTTCAAGTAATCAAGATGAAATTTTAGCATTAGGACAAAAAAAAAAAACAAGCAACAGTGTTCTATATATAAGTTATGATATCATGACTTTCAAAATTGTCTTAAAAAAATAGCTTCATTAGATTAAGCAGAAGGTGAAGTGATAGACAAAGCTTTTAAATAGTATTAATAAGTTCATGTTTATATAGAATATATGAATACTACATTAATTTAATTTTATATTGCTTATCTTGGTAAAAATGAAATGTAATATTAATTTGAGTTATTTAGTTGTATACATATAAATCAATTTTGTGTTTAGAGATTGCATTTAAAATTTTTATATTGAAATTCAGTTGAAGTTTAATTTAAATATAAAAATTTAATTTGAATGCACTTTTAATTGCACTAGATATTAATGTTTTTTTTAAGAGTTAGGATAAGAATGAAGATTAGTAATATACAGTCAGACCTCTCTAAGTGCATCCTCTATATATGCACACCCTTTCTAAGTGTACACCCTTTCTAAGTGCACATCCTAGCCCAGTCCCAAGCTTGGGCCTTAGTGCTAAGTACACACCTTTATCTTTTGCATATGCATAAATTTTTGGGAACCCAAACTTATAATATGCACCTCATAAGTGCATACACATAATTATCATAAAAGTTTGACCAATGAAAATACAGAATTTATCAATGATCATGAATTAAGATTTTTTTGGTGAGATGGAACATACTAGACCAGGTTTTATATACATATATTTATAGTATTTTTTTATATGAGCTTAAAGATGCTAAAGTCTGTTTATTTACAGTGTTAATATAAATAAAAAATATTACTTAAATAATTACATTATCTAACCATTAAGCAAAATATTAAAATTGTTGGGCTTGCTAACAGATAATGAACTTTATTTTAGAAAATAAGATAATACGATGTAATTCAACTACTGAAGCCATATAGGATAAGTTATATTTATTTAAAGTTGTATAAAAAAATGTTTATGCATACATGTTTGGTTTAGCATGCCTAGTAAAAAATATGTTACTATGATAAAACCATACAATATAAGAATATACTGTAATTAATAAGAAAAAAAAAATTCAACTTTTATAACTATTGGGAACAAATCTATAAGATAAGTGTTAGAATAAGCTTTTTTAATATTCCTCCAAAAAATAATCACTAATTTTACTTTGTCGTATTTGATTTAATTTAATTTTTTTAATAAAGGTTTCAACTTTTCTAACAGCCTTAATATATTCATTAGTATCATTATCTTGCTGAAAAAGAAATGTGTACACTGTTTTCAAGCTTGTCAATGCCATATTAGTATCAATTATAGGAATTTCATTACTATCATTACCTTCTATTTCTTTTGAATCTTCAGCAGCTAAATCAGCTGTCCTAAATATGTTTACAATATCTGTAATAACTTGATCATCATTAGGAACTTCATAAACAATATCTTTATCAGAAATAGATAAGAATTCATCAACTTGTATTGGGTAAGTAAGATAAGGATGGAGGGCTTCAAGTGCATCAGCAAGGTCATCGAGCTTGTCAAGCTCTAAACCCATATTATCTAAAAGATTTTGTAAATTAGCATTGGCATTTGCTGAAAGAATTTCAGTATGACACCAACAATTATAAATTGTTTCAGTAGTGATCTCTTCCCAGCCTTGAATGATATAATGTATAGCTTGCAATACATTCATCTTTAGCTCATCTGCACGCTGACTATTTTCTACACATTCTAACATCCATCTTAAAAAAAAAAATTTATTAACTTATTTATCTATTTATTTTTTAGTAAGGCTGTTATTGGTTTAAATGGTTTAGCTTAGCTTAGCTTAAAGAAACTATAGCCAAGCTATAACTAATTATAATTTAAGCTATTGACTACAATTAAAAATTTAAAACCAACAATTATTTTTTTATAACTTTAAGTAATTTTGGTTTAAATTATAGTTTTAGACTATTGGTTTGGCTTGATTTTAGCTTCAAATTGTAACTAAAGTTAACTAAGCAAAATTAATAACATCCTTATTTTTAGATATTAAATTTTAGACAGGTTTGTGACCTGAAAGATTGATTTGTAAATTTATATACAGTTAATTTTGGATATAATAAACCTTTTTATAATGAGCTTATTCAATAACAAACTTTTAAAAAAAAAATTTTATGTAATTCAGTATAGAACACAATAATTTACTTTTTTTTTTTTTTGTATTAAACTAGCTTTTTTTGAAGCTGAGACTTTTTATTCAGTATAATTAGGATATAGGGACTCATGGCCAAGGCCTCAAAGGAGTCACCTTACATTAGAAAGTACAACTAGTTACACATATACTTTTGGTGTCTAATTAAGTAGTCCGCCGATGGTTCTATACTAGCTGCCATACCTGCAATCCAACTAGGAGTGTTGCCTATTTAAACCCTCTGTACTGCAACCCTTACTGTATCACTAGATCATCTCTGCTATGTAAGTCAGTCAAGAAGGTCTAGATGCTTACCCGTATTCTTAGAACCCTATACCTTATTTCATACAGTGTATCCTCAGAAGCATCATTACTAGAGCCTTTCATGTCCTACATACAGCTAATCTAGTTTTATATAACACACTATAGTTATCTAACACTTGCAGTTAGGACTAACCTTAAACCACTACAT